GTTGTGGACGACCATCTCGCTAGATTTAAGGCCCACTCCATGAGATGGAGCCCATGCCTGATAATGCTCAGGTAGCCAAGAACCTGAGATTAGATAGACCATGGGCCTAAGAGAAACCCAAATACTATTTATTGTTCTGCTAAAAGAACACAGCAATAAAATGGTTCTTAAGGATATTCTGCTATACCTATAAATCAGTGTTTTGCTCAGCCATCATCAGAGAAGCTTCCTCTTGCCATAGATGGGAACCAATTTAGAGACCCACAACTGGACAATGTGCAGAGTGGGAGATTTTGTTACACTCAGTCTTAAATGAAGAAAGGTCTTCATCATCTCCTCTCCCCAGGCTCAGGGAACTCTGCAGAAGAGGAGGTGGAAGGACTGGAAGAACCAGAGGTGATGGATGACACCAAGGCAAGTGTCTTCCAGACACAACAGGACTAATACACAGATGAACTATCGCAGCATAGGGTCCACACGGTTCAAGCCAGAAGGGGAGGGGCAGCAGGGGGAATGGACACATACACAAACTCCCATCCCCAACCAAGAATCTATCTCCAACTGACAACTGACTGGCCTTGCAGTCTTAGTCTTCCTGTCTCCACCTCACAAGTGCTGGGATTACAGACAGGTACTACCACATACACCTTTTCTATTTTAACTGATGATGATAGAGTGTTCCTTATTTTTATGCTTTTTAAAAAGCTGTAATTTGGGGCTTCAAATGCAGTATATTCCCTGTAGTAGAGCATGATGCCTTGGATTTGATCTATAGCACATAAAATACAAAGTGTCCCTACACTGATAACTACCCATTTAGGTTTTGAGATCAATTTATTAATTCTTATTACTGATCATAGCTAACCTGAAATAAATACTCATTTCTAAGAAAAGAATATGTAGGTCAATGGCCAAGATATATTTAGAAAGATATATTTAGAACACTTTCTGAATTTCTACCCTGCTTCAAGCCTGGCCCATGCTACACTAGCAGCCTCCTATAATCAAACACAAGCATTCTACACATCTAGATTTCTACAAAAGCTGAATTAGATTGTAATGCTTGAAAGACAAGAATTTTGGGCTCAGACTGAGTTTGATGCCCAGTACCACATAAACTGGATATGTTAGAGCATGCCTATTATATACCCTGTCTAAAATAAGGCTACTCTTCTTTGAGAAGCCCACACTCACCATGCCCTGGATGTATCTGTCTTCTTGCTCAGTGTCTCTTACTCTTAACTCTCTGGGGGTAGGATCTATGTTAAGATATCCATAATAGAGCAAAGCATGGTGGCACACACCTTTAATCCCAGAACTCCAGAGGCAGAGGTGGGAATGGATCCACCTAGTTCCAGGCCACTCTGGTCTACATATCAAGTTGCAGGCCAGCTAGGGCTACTAGTGAAAAAAGGAAAGAAAAAAACAATGTTTAATTAACCCAACTCTGCTTCAAATAAAATAAATGAAAGTTTTTGTATTACTAAGGTTTGAAACAAAGACTCATGCGTGCTAGGCAAGTGCTCTACCACTGGGCTACATTCCCAGCCCCTTTTTAATTTTATTTTGAGACAGAGTTTGGCTCAATTGTCTACACTGGCCTTCAACTTACAAGGCTTCTACCTCAGCTTTCCCTAAGGGAAACAACTACATTCTGCAATGTTTAAAACAGAATCCTTTAAAACAAAGCTTTCTTCAGCCAAAGACCCCTTTAAAAAATATTTTAAGCCATACATACCAGTGTCTGCCTGCAATCTCAGCATTTGAGAAACTAAAGCAGGAAGATGAGAAATTCAAGGCTAGCCTGAGCTTTAAAACAAAATCCTGTCTCAAACAAATAAGACAAGGGTTTAGGAAACAGAGAAAGGAGAAACAGTACAAATTCAAGGCCAGCCTGGTCTACATATTAAAGTTCCCAGGCTAGCCAGGGCTACATAATGAGATCTTGTCTAAACTCCCAACCCCCCCCAATGCGCGCGCGCACACACACACACACACACACACACACACACACACACACACACACACACACACACAAAACCTAACAAATAAATTGCCAAAAGTAAGTTTCCCAAAGGCTGGAAAAAACAGCAGTTAAGAGCACTGGTTGCTCTTCCAGAGGACCCAGGTTTGATTTCCAGCATCTGCATGGCACCTCAAAACTATCTGTAACCAGAGTATGCAAACTCTTATCCTGGGACACCCATACATGCAGGCAAAATATCCAGTACACACACAAAATAAAAAGCTTTCCTAACTTATTTGAAGGTTGCTATTTAGAATTTGGATATCCACAAACATAGATATATCTTTTGTATAAGAAAATATCTACATTTTACCTAAGTATAGTAAAAATACACTTAAAAGGCTAAAGAGGACTGCTGCTTTTTGTTGAATAAGTTTCCTTAGAGATTGAAACATTTCATTCTGCAGGGAAGCACCTTAAGAAGGAAGCAACTCGCTGGGTGGTGGTGGCACACGCCTTTAATCCCAGCACTCTGGAGGCAGAGGCAGGTGGATCTTTGTGAGTTCGAGGCCAGCCTGGTCTACAGAGCGAGTTCCAGGAAAGGCGCAAAGCTACACAGAGAAACCCTGTCTCGAAAAACCAAAAAAAAAAAAGGAAGCAACTCAAAATAGCTTCAGGAAGTCCCTAAAACTGACCAGATTCCCTAGCCCCTCCTTGCCAGAATAAGCAATAAAAGCTGTAAAGACTCTTGAGACCAGACCAGCTCCCTGGAAGAAGAAGAAACCAGCTTAGATACCTGGAAGAGGTTTAGGACACCTGAGGTACCTGCAAAGGGTCCTCTCCAACCTGTTGAGATGCCTGCAGGCTGTGAAGTATGCTCCAGGTTCCCAGCTTTTGTGAGCTGTCACCGGTGCTGGATGGGCTTTGGTCATGCAGCTATCTCTGAGTCATTTCTGTTTCTTTTTCTTTTTCCTGCTTTCAAGACAGGGTTTCTCTGTGTAGCTCTGGCTGTCCTGGAACTCACTCTGTAGACTAAGATGGCCTCAAACTCACAGATCCTCCTGTTCTGCATCCTGAAGCTGGGATTAAAGGCGTGCACCACTACTGCCCAGCCATTTCTGCTTCTTTAAGTAACCATTCGTCTATATTCCTGTAAGTGACCCCAATAAAATTCATGGTTCACCAAGTTGTACTTTGGTGGTATCCATACTTTCGTCTGACACAGGTTTCCTATCTGTGGTGAGTAGTTTTTTTGTTTTTTGTTTTGGTTTTTTGTTTTTTTGGGGGGAGACAGGGTTTCTCTATGTAGCCCTGGCTGTTCTAGAACTTGCTCTGTAGACCAGGCTGGCCTTAAACTCAGAGATTTGCCTGCCTCTGCCTCCTGAGTGCTGCAATTGAAGGCATGTGCCACTATTATCCAGCTTAAAACTAGTTCTGTCTAAAGGTGGTTCCTTTTTAAATTTCCAGTCCAACTTAAATTCTTGAAGGTTTCCTTAGGCAGGTGGCATGGCTCAGTAGGTAGAGGTGCTTACTCCATAAGCCCGACAACCTGAGTTCAGTCCCCAGAACCCAACTCCACAAAGCCATCCTGACCTCCAAAAGCATATTGTCAGATTGGAGCACACCCAACAGGTACATATATGTGTATGTACACATACATACACACACCAAAAAAAAAAAAAAAAAGTATTCTTTAAATATTTCTTGAAGAATGGTTTCCTTAGTTTATTCAGGCCACCACTATAACAGATCAGACTAGATGGCTTAAACAGCAAAGCATAATTCTCCCAGTTATAGCAGCTAAAAAGCCTAGTATTAAGGGTCTGGCAATTCTGGTAGATCTGATATTGGCAAGGGTCTGCTAGCCAATCTAGTCTGAACACTCCTGATCTGATCTCATCTAATCGTTCTCTGGCCTCTTTATAAAGGCACTAATCCCACCCATTCTGGCAGATCTCTCTTGACCTAATCACCTCCCAGAGGTCTCACCTTTCTAATGCCAATATTGGAAGTTAAGACCTCAACATACAAATTTGGGGAAGACAAAAATTAAGACCATAGTAAAAGGCTTTCATTAAATGCACTAAATGACTCCTCTCATTCACACTCTTAATATTTAAAACAAATGGAAAACAAGTGTAGCTGAGAATCACGGTAGGGCATGTTCAAGAAGCTGAGGCAAGAACTGGGGATAGGGCTCAGCTGGTAGAGAGAGAGTGCTTGCCTAATATGCTTGGTGCCATGGGTTCTATCGCCAAGAAACTTGGTATGGTGGTACATGCTGTAAGAAGCAGAAAGATTAGGAGCTTAAGGCCAGTCTGGGCTACAGGAGAGCTTGTCTCGGCACACACAAAAGTACTGATGGGGATAGAGAGGGAACTCAGTGGGTTAAGAACACTTGCTGCTCTTGCAGAGAACCTGGGCTCAGTCCCAGGCACCTACACCAAGCAGCTCCTGACCACCTGTAACTCCAGTTCTAGGGGTTCCCATGCCCTCTCCTGGCCTTGAAAGCACCTACACACCTACACACACACACACACACACACACACACACACACACACACTCTCTCTCTCTCTCTCTCTCTCTCTCTCTCATACACAGTGCATACAGACAAGCAGGCAAACACGCACACACATAAATAAAAATATATTCTAAAAATACCTTTTTAAAAGTATTGAAATAGAATCTTAACATTTTGGCTCATTTCCTCTGAGCACTGACTTTACCTATAAATGTGTTATTAATAGAACAACACAAGTCTTTAGAAATGAATTACTTTTTCAAAACAGCAGCTATAGGATATGCAAACAATATGTAATACCCTTGTCTAGACCTATGGCTCAACTAATACAAACTATTATTATAAGCAAATACTATGCTACTTTATGAATGTAAATACTATTTATTTGACAACTTTTCCTTAAAAACATAAAACCACCATTGTCTTAACTGATTGGGGAAAAATAATCCCTTGCATACTTTAATACTATACTGAAGAAATGGTGCAAAAACAAAAACAAACAAACAACCAACCTTGGGCTGGCAGGATGGCTCAGCAGGTAAGGGCACCTGTCACCAGGCCTGGCACTCGAAGTCTGGTCATCTCCTGGCCCACCTGGTGCAGACAAAGAACTGATCCTACAAGTGGTCCTCTCTCTTCTACACACACTTCTCTAATAGTTGGAAACAAGAGCCAAAAAGAAGAAAAAAAGAAAAAGAAAAGATCCTTAAGAACAAGTTGTGGCCAGGCATGGTGGTGCACACCTTTAATCCCAGCACTTAGGAGGCAGAGGCAGGCAGATCTGTGAGTTCAAGACCTACCTGGTCTACATGGTGAGTTCAGAACAGCCAGGGCTCTGTAGAGAGACCTGTCTCAAAAAAAGAAGAGGAAAAAGTCATGGGTATTTAAGATCATATTTCTGTGGTCCCTTTGTCTGAGCTATTTCTATACTTAAAATGTACTATTAAAAATGCTGACCTGGTGTGGTGGTCCATGCTTTTAATCCCAGCACTGGGAGGCAGAGGACATTGAATCTTAGTGACCCAAGTCCAGCCTGGTCTACATATCAAGTTATGGGGGGGGAGTACAAGTAAAGATGTCTTGAGATTCAAGTTTGGGAGTTTTGTTGATTTTTTTTTAGACAAGGCTTCACTATGTAACCCTGAAACTTGATATGTAGACCAGGCTGGCCTTTACTACTGGCTCTGCTTACTTAGTCTTTTTATCACAAGAAACAGGGAACAAGATATATGAAGACTGGAAGCCAAAAGACAAGTTGTAACACATAAAGATGCAACAAGAATGCAGCAAGGCTTTCAAACAATCCTGTGCCATCTACTCCCTGCTGGTCTGGGCAACTAACTGTCATAAAAAGATTTCATGTATTTCATAGGCTAGGTATGCAATTCAGTGATGAAGAGAATGCTTGCCTAGGATAAACAAGGTCCTGGGTTCCATCCCTAACACTAGAAAAAAATGAAAATGTGTCATTTTGCACAAAGTTAGACAAGCTGGGTCTCATTGCAGCACTGTAAACAGGCCAAGGCATACCTGTAATTCCAACACACAGGAGGCAGAGGCAGGAGGCTTTGAGTTCAAGGACAGCCTGAACTTCAAAAAGCATGTCTTTAAAAAAACAAGGCCTAAGGCTCAAGAGATGGCTCAGAGGTTAACTGTACTTGCTGCTCTTGCAGAGGACCCAGATTCTGCTCCCAAGACCTAAGTGGTAGCTCACAACCCATACCTCCAGTTCCAGGATATTCCACACCCTCTTCTGACCTCCACCCACACACATAGCTAAACACTCATACACACAAAATAAAATAAGTAACAAGGCCTAGAAATGTAGCTCAGTAAGCAGAGTATTTATTTACCCAGCATGCACAAAATCCTAGGTTCAATCTCCAACACCCGCCACACACACACACACACACACAAAGTATGCTATGGCGATATTTTATTTGTGCTGAAATGTGATTTTATTTGTATGTGAATAAATAAGGTTGCCTGGGGATCAGAGCTAAAAGCAAGTCATTTAGCAGAAGTCCGGCCCTTAATCCAATCACATGGCAGGCAGAGTCTCTGCATAGTCAAGGACACAGCCAAGTGGTGACCCAAACCTTTAATCCCAGTACAAACCATAGAGACCTGGAGGTCTGTATAGACAGGCAGCGACAAGGAAATCATGTGGTTGGGTTTAGAGCCAATGAGAAGGTAGAACAGAAAGGCAATAAAAAGACAGGTCACACAAGAGAAGGTCTCTTTCTCAGGGGAAGAGACGGCAGTGACTGATAAGCTAAAGGTAGTCTTGGGCTTTGCTAGTGCTCTAATCTCTTAGGCTTTAACTCTGTATTTGGCTCTGCGTTTCTTATTTACTAAGACAGTTTAGAATTTCATCTATAGTATGCTATGCAGTTATGAAACTGCACTAAGTAGAGAATTGTAATACTAGCCATCATCTAAGAAAATTAACACCTGAGTAATCTAATTTCTCAGACTATGGCCACAACAAATACATTGCTTCAAAGAATACTTTTTTTTTAAGACAGGGTTTCATGTAGCCCAGGTTAGCCTTGAACTCTTGATCTTTCTGCTTACACTTTCCAAGTGCTAGAATACAGGCATATGCCACCAAGCCCAGTAACAGTACTCTTAAGTACCAATACCTCAACAATTTTGTTTTCCAACAACTTTCAATTATTTGTAAGGATTTTAGGTTAGTTTTTCCACTGAGAATCTGCAGCACAGATAATGTGAACTGTGCAGGAACCAAAGATTAGAAATGAAATAAAAACACCTACAGGATATTACAATGAGCTCTTTTCTCCACAGCAATTCATCCTTCCCCAACTCTCAGAAGGAAGAAATTAAAGAGACTACAAACAAAACAGAGAGAGAGAGAGAGAGAGAGAGAGAAAGAGAGAGACTGACTCCCAGCTAGAAATGATGAAACAGAAGAAATTCATTAATGGAATTGGACAATGACCATCAATAGCAGCTAACATCACAGACAAAATAAAATATGTGCCTCCCAAGGCAAGTACTCAACATTAACTATAAAGTCGCCTTGCCGACCAAGAAAAAAGAAAAACTGACAAAGAAAGACTATACATCACAGAAACTGAACCAGATCAACTCTCCAAACAATTAGCAAACACAGGCCAGAAAAACATGCTCACCACCACTACAGGAACTAACAAATTCAGACTATGGGAAATTTTCAGTTTCTTCATAAATGATGTGTAAAGAAAAAGAGAGGAGCTAGAGATTACTAAAACTAAATGACTACATTTGGCTCTTGATTTAAATAACTATAATACCACATTTATGAAATAATGAAGAACCCTGAATGCTCCCACATGATGCTAGGCATTATTAAACTTATTATCCTTCATTGTGATTAACAGTTTTTTGGTTTGTCTTTCCTTAAGGGTGAAGTTGACTGGGAAATGAGTATCAAATGGTTGAAGCACATAAAAAGAAAACTAAAATTAATAAAGCTGAACGGAGTTATCAGAAACATCCTGGATCTGGACTAACAAGCACGGAAATATAAACTGCCAGACTGCAACCATGAAGGCAACTTTACGTATCTGCCAGCCAACCTTTTCTCCACTGATACAAGCCCTATAAATAGGCCAAGAGTGATAATAGCCACTCAGATCACTTCATACTGCAGATACTACCACTTCTAGCATGTACCTGGCCCTACACCAAGACTGTGAATAAACCAGCATCAGGTAAGAGGCCAATGAAGTTAACAATTGCAAAAAGCCCTGCAGCTAATGAGAGAAATCCTAAAGCACTCATTCTAAAGCACCATTATTGTAAATCAAGAATAATTTAAATTACAAGTTTTAAATTTCTCCAAGATTTTTGCTCTTACCATTTTCTAGAAGATCATTCAAAAAGATAGATCACCAAATAACCACATATGCTGGGACCTCAGGTCCCTAAGAAAAATGAAAAAATGCTGCCAAAAATCTATCTCAGGCTCATACCAAGTTGTTCTGTGGATTGCAGCAGAGAAAAACAAACAACACTTGATGATTAAATGTTGGTTTAAGAATATGCTTCTAGATGCTGGAGAGATGACACAGTGGTTAAAAGGCTCTTGCAGAGTTCAGTTCCCAGCATCCATATCAGGAAGCTCACAACGACCTCCAACTCAAGTTCCCGGGCACCCAACAACCTCTTCTGACCTCAGGCAGCTGTACTGTAATGTAATATAATGTAATGTAACGTACATGCATATTTTACATTCACACACACATACATTTTTAAAAAGTAATAAAAGTCTTTAAAAAGTAAAAAAATAAAGGCATGATGGCAGATACCTTTTAGCACTAGGAAGGCTGCAAAGCAAGTTCCAAGTCAGCAAAGGCTACATAGTGAGACCATGCCTCAGAAAAAATAAAAAGAAGAGTATGCCTCTTACCCAGGAGTAGTAGTGCAGGCCTACAAATCACAGCACTTGGGAGCAGAGGCTTGTTGTGGATGATTGATCGATAAATAAAACACTGATTGGCCAGTAGCCAGGCAGGAAGTATAGGTGGGACTAGCAGAGAGAAAAATTGAGAGAACAGGAAGGCAGAGAGGAGGAGACGCCAGCCTGCTGTCCAGGGAACATCATGTGAAGGCAGCAGGTAAAGCCACGGAACACATGGCGACATATAGATTAACAGAAATGGGCTGAGTATAAGAGTAAGAGCTAGACAATGGTAGGCCTGAGCTAATGGCCGAGCAGTTTAATAATATAAGCATCTGTATGTTTATTTTATAAGTGGGCTACGGGACTGCCGGGGCTTGGCAGGACCCAGAGAAAAACTCTAGCTACAGAGGCTGGAAGATCATAATTCAAGACTAGCTTCAGCTATGTAGTTAGTTTGAGTTCATCCTGAGTGAGCTACATTAGACATCACACACACAAAAAATTCAATACAATTTTTTTAACCTTTTTATCAAATGGGCATGGTGATTCATTCTAGTATTCCAGTAATCCCAGCTCCAGGAGGCTGAGGCAGAAAGACTGCCTCAAGTTCAAGGCCAGCTTGGGGTACAAAGTGAGATCCATAACACAAAACCAACCTTTCTCAATAAATAGTTTTCACCTTATTTTGTGTATGTGTGGGTATCCATATGCCCATATGCAGTCAGAATTCAACCTGCAGGAGTCCCTTCTCTCCTTCCACCATGAGAGTCCCCCATTAGACTCAGACAGTCAGGGTTCATGACTGGGGCCTCAATCTGCTGAGGCACCTTACAGCCCCTCTTTTGTTGTGTTAAGGGGAGCAGGGTCTCATAAACCAAGCCAGCTCAAACTTACCTAGCTGCTGAGGATGACCTTGAACTCTCAATCTTCTACTTTCCAAGTAGTGGGATTACAGGTGTGTACCACAATACTTGGCCAAAGAATATGCTTCTATGCTAGGATAAAACTAAGGCAGACAGGAAAGACACTGTTTACAATCAACTGGATGAGGGTTTTGTTCTTAACACAGAAAGGAAAACAACCTTGTTCTCCTCGAGTTTTATACTCCACACACAACTTCCCTATCCCCAATACCTTTCTCTAATCATAAGGCAGCTAACAAAATACTGACTCTAAACATCATAAAAAGTTATTTATAAAAATCTGACAACTCCATTTACAAAAAATTCTTATGTCAGT